AGAAACTCTGTTCTAGAGAGCATAATGCACTAATACAGTATTTTTTAGAATCAGATTTGGGTGAGGTTGGGAGAAGGCAGATGCTGAAAACCAGCTGAATGTAAGCAGCTGCTTTTAAGCCTTAACCACACTTCTTTCCCTCTTTCTGGTCCACCTACTTGTTAACTAGTATGGAACTTTATTCCACCTCCACAGTTTAACTGGCTGGCTTGATCCAGATTTGGAATCATTCCTGTCTTTAAAACAACTCTCCCAGGTCCTCTTACAAGCTTGACAGGCAAAGAAGGTGGGATTTCTGAGTAAAACGAGAGAATACAAGTACACAGTCCTATCTCTGACTGCAGCCCCTATTTTCATTTTCATTAGACAGTAAGACAAAATTTGTTTGGAGAGCAGGAGGCAGGAAGTTCTAAGAGGTAAGAAGATACTCTACTCTCACCTGATATTCAAAAGAATATGAAGGGCAGTCACCACAGACACAACGTGAACTCATGGACAGTAGCAAGGTTGAATTCAGGAAAGAACATGGGTGAGAGCACAGAGAAGTAGAATACAGTACCTTAATTAAGACTATTACTTGGTAAATTAGCTTAATGTTTTTGCATATCCTCAAGAAAACTTGTCTGTGGTAGCTCCAAAATCAAGAAGAGATTTTATATTAAAACATAACTGCAAAAGTTGTATAATATAAATTATATATTGCTACTTGGACACAAAATACAAGAGCGAAAAATACAGAAGAGAGAAGTAGGCCTTTAATAAAACTCATCTGAAAGGGCCTTACTACAAGAAGTATATTTTTCCCCTGTAAGGCCATCCTAATTTTAAATGGATACACTGTACTATATCCTATATCCTTATTAGAATTAGATGTACAACAAAAAATTGTGGACTTACAAATTAGAAAACAAAAAACCCAGTAAAAGAAAAAAGTAAAGTAATAAAACTCAACAGAGACAAAAGTAATGTAGTTTTATACTGCAGATTTAAAATACAGAAAACCACCACTCTGAAACAAAGTATACTCCCTCAGCATAACTCCTTCACTTCCATTCATTTAATTTTTCTCTTGTTAAGTAAAAGAATCAGTCATAGTCCAAACCACAAGGATTTAACTCTTAAGTAGCTTAAATGAGTGATAGGGGTTTTTGGTTAAGATTTTGAACAATCTAGCTGGGCGACCATGGTTCATGCCTGAAATCCTAGCTACTCAGGAAGCAGATATCAGGAGGACCAGGGTTCAAAGTCAACTGGGCAAACAGTTCGAAAGACCTTATCTTGGAAAAAACCCATCACAAAACAGGTGTAAGCCCTGAGTTCAAACCCCAGTACAGCAAAAAACAAAACAAAAAAACCCCCAAAAACCAAAAAACCCTAAATCCCTTCTTAACAGAACAAAACAGTGTATTTAACCTGTACAAGATGCATGTCCAATGTAACTGAAAAATTTAAAACATTTTTTAAGAATTCTAAGAAATGAGTTACATTTAGCACTGGATTAGAATCCATACATATTATTTTCTGTTTAGTGTTTTCCTTTTCTTGTCTATAAAATTATTATTGTATGAACTTCACTGATACAGTCTCCTAACCTCATCTAAATGAATATTAAGTCAGGTCTCAACACAGAAATGTTTTTAGATTGCCCTATAAGAACTGACCTTCTGCTAAACACTCTGATCTTACCTCCCACCACAACTGCAACCTTAACTTACTGTTCCAACAACAATGGTTTCTTGCAGTTCTTTGAACAATACAGGAATGCTCTAGTCTTCAGGTCCTGCACTCATTGTTCCCTTTGACCACTGCTTTCCCCCATATAGCTAAATGGCTCACTCCCTTATGTCCTACAAGGTTTTGATCAGATGGCCATTTTGGGTGAGGAATTAGCTGAGCAGCTTCTCCCTCACAGCAGTCTCTACATCCTTTATCTGATAAGACTCTACTTCACTTAATTGGTTTGTCTCTCCACAGTGAAGGGCTCTACCTTTATATTGTCCACTGTTGTACTGCAAGTAATTATAATCAGTGAGGACTTGCTTGGCAAGTATCCAGGACAACACTCCACTCCCACCCAATCCCAGATACCAAGTCCAAGGATGCTCAAGTCCCTTACATAAAATGGTATAGCATGTGCATATAACATACATGCATCTCTACACTTTAAATCATCTCTAAATTACTTACAGTACCTAATACTGTAAGTATTTACTATGTAAAAAGTTGTTATACTGTACCATTGAGGAAAGAATGACAAGGAAAAAACTGAGCACAGGTTCACTATTGACACAACTGCACCCCCTACCCAATACTTCTCAACTACAATTGGTTGAATCCAGAGATGCAGAATCTACACATGTGGAGGGCCAAATGTATACAGCCAACCGAGCACATGGAAGGTCAGGGCAGTCAATGAATGATAAAAGCTAACAATAATCCAGAAATGTTCAGATACATCTATTTAATTGATTGTACTAATTTCAAATCTAGTTTGTAATAGCCTTCTAGAATTTACTTTAAAAAAATAGTAGATACTTAAAAAGCATCCCAAATACTTGATTCAGGTCATTAAACCCTAGCAGATTATCCAAATTGTGATAATTTACAAAGTTTCAGATTTTCCCATTATCAAAGAATTATACAATTCCTCTCTAATCTAAATTATGCTCCATAATAAACTTTGCTTAATGAATGCCTTATTTTACATTTCTCTATTTTACTTAATCTGAGGTTTCTGCAGCAAAACCCAAATAGTGATTTAGCTGCCAGCTGGAGCAAAAATAAGCCAACTTGGAGAAAGTTATGGCAGCCTCCTATAGCAAAACAAAAGCAAAAGTTATTTTTCTATATATTCACATTCCAATTCTTCAGGTTACCCTCTGGTGACATCCTCCCACCTCTTTTTTTTAGGGATGTCCTGAAAGTGAGAGAATGATACAGAAAAGAAAATATAATGGCTGGGAGTGTAACTCAGTGGGAGAGTGCTAGATTAATGCAAGTGAGGCCCTGCATTCATCACCAAAGAAGGAAAAGACCAAAAAAAAAAAGTACTGTATGAGTAAAGAAAATGGCAAGGACAGAGACTCAAATTCTCTAAAACTTAAGTGATGACTTCATATAGATTAGTCTTTGATTACTGAAATACAAACATAGAAAAAAATATTATTTTCTGTACTCCATACAAACATGCAAGAAACAGCCTGTGTTAAAAATCAAAGCATGCAGTGTAGCTATACCTACACAGTGGAGAGCACTGGACTTGCTCTCACTGATGTATTTGGGACTGACAGCTGTCGTCTTCCTGTGTAGGTGTCAAATGAGGCTAGTCTTAGCAGAAATGTGATATTTCACTGCTAAAACTAAATGCATGTGATTCTATCTCCATCCCTAAATGTCTTGACATTCCAAAAGAAAACTTTAGCCAATTAAGTTTTGTTCAGTTTTCTTACATTACTGGCAGATGTTAACTGTCTCCAGACATTAACAGATGACAAATACCATTTTATGAGCCACTGGTTATACAGATTATCTTAATGCTCACAGAAATCAGACGAAGTAAATATCATTACTTCCACATTACACACTAAGGTTTAAGAAAGTTATACAACTTGGGCAAGATCACAAAGTAAATGGTGTGGCTTTGATTCTGAAGTCTCACCTCAACCACTTCACTCTCTTCAAGGAATAACACGCTAAAATAGTAACAACAGAATGTGTTGCACTCTTTTGTACATGGATGTGTGTTCTTGAATGACTGTAATGCTTACACGTAAAGCAAGCATCTTTCTCTGTTTAAACTGGCAAAACTATCTTTCGTTTAGGTAATGGTAACAGCATGAGCACCGCTATCCGAATGGCCACGAGAACCTCTGGTATTCTCCGATTCCTTTGCTAGCACTCTTTCTTACACACTGGGTAACAACGCTTGAAGTCAATCTAAGGCAACAATATGTATCTATGAGTGCTGTCTTGGGCGTGGATAGGAGACAAAATTCTTTCCCTGCAGCCTGAATGGCTGGTACAGGAGTTCAGGTTGCAATTCACCAGCTGTCATGCCTTTGTTCCTTTCCTTCAGTAAAGGCTTCTGAGAGTCCTTTTCAGGTGCAGCTTTGAAGGTTAAAAACACTGGGACCAGTGGGTCCCCGTCACTGACTCTAAGAGGTGGCAGCACCGACAGCGGTGCACTCCCCTGATGGGCGGCGCAGGGCCAAATTTTCAAGAGTCCTTACGGGACTGGGGGGCAGGGGTCTGTTCATGGAGCTCCCCAGGCCTCCTGTCGCCACAACTAGAAGAACCGGGGCGGCGGGGAGGCCGCCAATTTCCAAATCCCGGCCGCCACACCCGCGCCGCGCCAGCCCGGGGGTCCCCCAGGCTTCCCGCAGGCTCCCGGGGGGAAAAGGTTTCGCGTTCCTTCCGTAGAGACCCGAGGACCAAGAAAGCCCAGCCTCGGTCCCCACGCGGGTGCGGCCAAGGCGGCCGGACCGAGGGCACTCACCGTCGTTCTCGTCGCTGTGCCGCCGCCGCGACATGCTGCCCGCCGGTGCACAGCTGAGCCGAGCCGAGTCGAGAAGCGTGCGGGAAACAACTCAAGAACCGTCGAGCCGCCCGCGAGGCTCGCGGACTGGCTGGCGCGCAAGCGCACTCGCTCGGGACGGCGCCCGGAAGCGCGAGGAAAAGAGGCCCTGGGTGGGCTCGGCGGCAGGGAGCTGCAGGATCACTGGGCTATGGCCGTCCGATCCTATCCGCACGCTGCTGCCGCCGCCCCCTCGAGCTGCCTCCGCTGCCGGCTACTTCCTCCTCCCGCCTTCCGATCGGTGTCCTTCCGGGGCCACGCGGAAGGCCCCGCCAGCTACCGTCTACGGAACTCGAGATAGACGGGGAAGCGAGAGGCTCCGGGACCGCGAAGGTCCCGCCTCAGCTCCGTGCCCGCCCACTGCCCCGCCCCCTGCGGTGCTTTCCCGGCGGCCTCTGCGCTTACGGCCGCGAAGACTTCCGGAGCGAGCTGACGTCGGGCGCGTAGGGGGTGTGGGCTTGCGGGCGGAGAGCGGCGACCATCGCTTCGTGGAGGCAGGTCTGCGAAGAAAGACCTAAGAAGGGATCGGGACGGTCGGTACGTGCTCATCTCACTCCCGCCTCTCACGCTTCTGCCCCCTCGGAGACCTGGGCGGGCGGCGGGAGGCGACGCCCTCGAGCCGCCCCTGGTGTGGACAGACTCGCTTCTCAGAGCAAATGATTGTTTTAGTTTAGTGGTTGTTGGGTACCTACTTAGGTGTACAGTGTGTGACTGTCCCCTACCCTTGTCTGTGGTCATCTGAAATGTCACCCTCTGGGCCTAAACTTCTCCGCAGTCTTGCCCATTTCAGTACGTGGCACCTTCCTTCGGTTGCTTAATGCGTAAATTTAGGGACTCATTCTTAGATCCTTTGTTTCCGGCAGAAGTATTTATCCATAAACTCCGCCTGCTGTACTTTCAAAGCAAATCCATAATCAGACCTCGTTAACTGCTTTGTTTAAAACTCTCCAGGGACTTTACATTGCAAACTTCAAACCACAGCCTGTAGCATTCTGTGTTCCAACCACTCTTCTTCCTCTGATTAGTCAAGCTTGTTCCCATTTTAGGAATTTCTACTCACTATTTCCTTTACCTGAATGAAGGTCTCTGCTCCAAAATCTGCATAGCTGACGCCTGGTGACTTAAGTTTCAGCTCAACCATCAGATACCTATTGAGGCTGATTATTCAACAACGGCCTTATTTCATTCGACAAGTACTGTATTCATTAACGTTTACCACCTCCTGTGCATCAGGCAGTGTTCCAGATGCTGCGGATGAAAGGGTGAACCAAGGGAAACCCTTGTCTTGGAGCTGCTGTTCTCCATGACCCATTCAGGAATGGGCACAAATAGTGCAATCTAGGGTAGTGAGCAAAGGCGGAGTAGTGCAAGATGGGGTCAGAGAAGCAGGGGGACATTTATCTGAGTCGGTTGAGAAGCCTTTGGTAGATGACCTGACTTCGCGTGTTTAACAGTTACCTGCTTGATCCTATAGGAAGAAGGCAGTTAGGCTGTTGCAGCAATTCAGGCAAGAAACGCTGGGGGTTTGAACTGGGGTGGTAGTGAGGGTGTTGCAGAGTGGTTTGCTCCGATTGTATTTCAAAAGCAAAGTTGATTAGAACTTTTGGAGAAGCCGAATGATCATGTCAGAACATTAGGAGTCATGAATTTTCCCATAGTTTTTTTTTTTTTTTTGACTGAGTAACAGGAAGACAGAATTGTCTTTTACCTACATGAGGAAGACTGGAGAAGAGCACCTTTGATTTGGGGGAGTACATTTAGTTTTCAACAGTTGCTTTTCAAACTGAAGCTAGACACATAGCTGAATATGTGAAATTGTGGTTCTGGAGAGAGACCCAAGTTGGAGATAGAATTTTGGAGTCATTTAGTAACTTACCAAACACAAAATTTCCTTTATTTATGTTTGTTTCACTTTTTTTCTTTTTTTCACAGAAGTTTCAAATATTACAGAAGTAGGGAAAACTGAATAATCATCACTGTATACTCATCACTTAGTTTCAGTAACTATCATCTCATGGCCAATCCGATTTCACTCATGAAATTATTTTGAAGCAAATATAGAGGTTCATTTGTTATTCTTTGCCACACAGTCTTATTATGTAGACCAGGTTGGCATGGAACTTTAGATCCTCCTGCCTCAGGCTCCCCAGTGCTGGGGCTATAGGTGTGTACCACCATGCCCTGTGCAAATACAGTTTTTGAAGTCCTTGGCAGTAGATGAGATCACCAAGGGGCCAGGAGGCGGAGGAGGGGAAGGGATATAGATAAAGAAAGTCAAATTTAGAGATTGGAATGATAAGGAAGGGCCAGCAAAGGGAACTGAGAAGCAGTGGCTCTCATCACCATTTGATACTTTCATAATTTTGTTTGTTTGTTTACTTATTTGGTGTCTCCCCTTACTGACAGGTTAACTCTAAGAGAGCAGGGCTTTAACCACTTCATTCATGGATGCATCCCCAGTACTATTCTATGTGCCAGGCACATAGCAGAGATGCCACAAAGAATAGTTCCAAATATTGAAATAAGGTGAGACTGAAGAGTCAAGAGTGAGGGGAGGTCATTTGGGAACAGTGGGAAAAGCATCTGTGGAGAGCCCAAGGCAGGAGAGTACATGACTCATTCATGAAAACAGGCACAGTATGGTGTGACCTGAGTAGGATATGTGATGGGGCACCTTGCCCAAGATGCACATGGGTTGATAGGGGAACTAAGTGTTTCAGAGCATTTAGGAAGGAGTGACGCTGGGTGGCAGAGAAGACTTGGTGAAAGAGGTGACACTTGCTATGTATGTTCAGCATTTAAACAGGAGAAAAGGACGAGAATAAGGGGAAAAAGTAGCAGACAGCATAAAAGCCAGTGCCAACCACTTTAACCAGTAGTCATATAGAGGCAAATTGGGGAAAAGTGGCATGGGTTAGGTGGGAACCAATTGTACAGTAGCTCCTTTTGAACATTTTCTCCCAGCTGCTCTGCTCTTGTTGGTAGACTAAAAAAAAAATAAATAAATTTTTCATTGTACCTACAATGCCTGGCACATAGAAGGCCTTCAGTAAACATTTGTTGAATGAACTTTTATTTGAAAATAATGGAAACACTCTTATCTACCTTTACAATAGAACAACTGTGTGTGTGGAAGAAGTGAATGAATTCTTCTACTTAATTTTCCTTTTGCTGATAAGGCCTGTATGTATGTCTGGGTAGAGTTAAGAGATTTGTTCTTTTCAATGGAACTTTATATGAAAGACATTTATGAGACACAAATGAGAATGTAGTAGTTTTTCACCTGGTCTCACTAATTTTTCAAATGTGGGTCTAATAAATTTGTGTTATGTTGCCCTACATCTATAACAAAGTTCATTTTGCATCCTGGGCAGTCACCACATAACTGATTGGAATACATTTTGTGTAGTATAAGTAAGTGACTGTGATTAATGAATCCTAGGAAGAAAGGTCTTCTATAAGAAAGTTGGTGCTGTGTATATTTGTTTGTGTTGTCTCCATAAATCCCATTCAGCATGGTTAGCAAGCACTATATAGTCACCCCATGTACAAATTGCTTCTCATTTGCTTCTCATTTTCTCAGAGTACCATTACTCAAAGTTGTGAATTGGCAAGGGTTGTCACCTATGTTTCCCTTCTGCATTTTTCATTTTCAGTGGCAGTCTTTTTCTATTTACCCTCTTCTGGAACATGGAACCTCTCTGCCTGTTACTACTCTTTTTAGAACCAAGTGTCCACCTCCTGTATCTACCCCAGGCTACCTCCTTCAAGATTGTCTTCAAGAGACAAACTTTACCAATTTACTGGTGACATAAATAATTGTTCAGGGGGTTGGATGCATGGCTCAAGCAGTAGAGCACTTTCTTCATAAGTGTGAAGCCCTGAGTTCAAACCCTAGTACTGGGGGGGGGAGCATTTATTAGGTTTTGGGCAGGAATTTAGACAGGGCACAGCAGGGGCAGTTTGTCTCAGCTTGAAGGCTGGCACTGGAAGTGGAGCCATCTGAGGATCTGGCCATTAATGCCAGCTGGAAGCCTCAGTTCCTCTTTGCGTGCTTCTCTGTATGTGATCTCAGCATGAGCTGGATTGGCTTACTGGCAGCACGGTAGTTGGTCTCACAGTGAGCGTTTGAAAATGAGAGAGTTAGTGGAAGCTTATCCTTTTTAGGACCCAGCCTTAGAAGTTATATACATCGCTTCTGCCATATTTTATTTTGGGTACAGTTTCAGGCCTGCCTAGTTTAGAGAAAGGGAAATTAGACTAGAAATACTGCTGTGCCCGTTTTTTGAAAATGCAGTCTTTCTTAGCTAACTTTTAGAGAAATCAATTTTTACTGTTAAATTTAAAATATGGCATTAAATTAAATTGAAATGTCAGTGTTGTCATTCATTGAACCCGAGTATATGCTAGGTGTTTTATATATCCCTTTCTAATTCTAGATGGTAGATGCTACCATCCCAATTTACAGATTAGGAAAATAAAATTCAGAGAAGGTAAGTAGCTTACCAGCACTCACATTCTTCAACCAGCTGTACCACAGCAAGCCCAAGTATTTATAAAAGAAAGAATGCAGTACTTTGGTTGTTTGTATCCCGTCTGACAAGATTTGACCATAGTAGCTATTTGGATATTTTTTCTGGCTCATTAAAATGGCCTATGAAATTTGAGGGCAAAAAGAACAATGGAAGGTACTGGCACACAGATTTGTTGATTTTGGTTGTATTTTGTACTTTTCTGGAACAATGAAAGGTACTGGCATACAGTTAGGTTGATTTTGGTTATACTTAGTGCTTTTCTGGAACAATAGAAGGTACTGGCACACAGTTTGGTTGATTTTGGTTGTACTTGGTACTTTTCTGGAACAATGAAAGGTACTGGCACACAGTTTGATTGATTTTGGTTGTACTTGGTGCTTTTCTGGTATCATTGACCCTTAATGTTTGCATGGCTTGCTCCCTACTCAGGTTTCTGCTCAAATGCTGCTGCCCTAGAAAGGCTTTTTTCTGCCGTCTGTGTTTAAAGAGCCCTTCAATCCCTCTGTCTCCTTACCCTGCTTATTTTTCTTTGTAATAACTGTACCATTTTTTTAAATAAAAATCAGTTTGTTTATTTGCTTACCTGTCCCCACTGGAATGTAAACAGTAAGAAGATGAAAACTTTTCCCTACTTTATTCACTGCTCCATTCCCAGTGTGTAGAACAGTGCTTGTTAAACAAGTACTGCTGAAGAAGCAAGTGAATAAGTGGAAAGCTTGGGCTACTTGGCCCATGCCGATTTGCATGCTTGTCTTTATTTTACATCAAGAAATATGGCACTGCTATTTCTCCTTTGCTTCTACAGTACTTTACGAGATACTTAACTGAAAGGACTCTGCCACGTTGCTGCACCAAACCAGATGCCTTCTTCCACTTCACCAGACCAAGGGGATGACCTGGAGGCCTGCATTTTAAGATTTTCTGATCTGGATTTAAAAGATACAAGTCTTACTAATCCCAGCAGCAATCTCAAAGCAGAGTTAGATGGCAGTACAAAGAAGAAATATTCATTTGCAAAGAAAAAGGTAAAATTTCTATTGATGTTTTTGTGATTATGTACATTTAGTTAATGCAGATACATCTAGAAGTAGCTTATCCAGGTTGCCCTCCTGCTTATGGTATGGTCTAGTCAGGAGCATTACCCCATGATACTGATTCAGTGCTAGGCAAAGGAGAATCATATTTAAGGTGTGGCCATGGGACAGTTATGGTGAGTATTTGAGCAGAGTAGATTCTAGGCAGTTGGGTTGGATTTCTATACCTAGGGTTATGGGAGGAGTCCCAGGAACCCGGGACAAATGATCATAGGAAAACAGAAGGCAGAAGGGCAGCTGTCGTCTATTGAAGTTAATGAGCTCAAGGCTGTCACTGAACTCTGATGGCTAGTGAGGTAAGATTTCTGATCTGGTCCATCTGCATCACTTTAGACGAGGTATAAAGCATCCCTGAGTGCTGCAGGCTTACTCAGTACAGCTGAGACTGGGCTCTGATGGAGATGGTATTGATGCTCTTCTTCTATGCCATTTGTTCTTTTTAACAGTAGAAAACCTGAGATTTTCAGAAAGGAAAATGAGTGACTGAGGAAATGCAGTTGAAACTTAGCTTTCTTACCTTTAGCCTGTTTCATCTCTCACAGAGCCATCTTTTATTAGCTCCATGTCAATTAGGAATAGCCATCCCAGCTGGTAACTTCCTAGCTGCCACTCCTCCACTCTCATCGCATATTTCCTTGATAATGAAATTCAAAGGGTTCAGAAAAGTCTTTTAGCAATATTATTTTGCAATAATTTCAAACTTACAGAAAAATTGCAAGAATTGTACAAACAGCTGGCGGAGTGGCTCAAATGATAAGAGCACCTGCCTAGCAAGCCTGAGGCCCTGAGTTCAAACCCCAGTGCCGCCTAAAAAAAAAAAGAATTGTACAACCAACCTTTATATTTCCTTTGTCTAGAGGCACCATCTACTTTACTACTTGTCCCAAAAGTGGCTTTTATTGTAGATCCACACCGGGGTCACATGGTACATTTAGTTGTCATGTCTCCTTAGTGTCTTTTGTGTTTTGTTTTTTTTGTTGGTTGGTTGAGGTTTTTGTTTGTTTTTTGAGATGGAGTCTCACTGTGCAGCCCTGGCTGGCCTTGAACTCAGGATTCTCCTGCCTTAGCCTCCTAAGTACTGGGATTACAGGTGGATACCATCATGCCTAGCCTTAGTCTTCTTTAGACTGGACATTTTCTTAATTTTTCCCTCAACTCTGATCATGACATTTTTGAAAACTGTAAATGAGGTTTGTTTTTAGAACGCTCTTCAGCTTGATTTTAATTCATATTTCCTTGTAATTAGATTCAGGTTTTGCTTTCACTAGTAACACTATGCTGTATTCATCTTGCTGTGTTCTTTTAGGTTGTTTACAATGTCACTTTGTCCTATTATTTGTGATGTAATTTTGTTTAGGGAAACGTCTGTCAGGTTTACTTTTGGGGGGAAATACACTGCTAACTCTTTTTGCCTGTCATGAAGGGTTAGCACAAGAGGTTAAAAAATGCTCTCTTAAGTAATTTCAGGCCCACCCAGCTGCTTCAACCCTGAGTGTCCACATTCAGTCGTGCACAGGTTGAAGAAAGTATCTGCAGAGTGTTTACCTGGGGATGGTTTACTTCTTCAAATTCACTTAAAAAAATATTTTAAAATGTACAGTAGACCCATGGGTGTATGGTTCCAAGAGACCACTGTTGAGGAGAACCTGCAAATGCTCAGGATGCATAGAGTTCAGTGCTGTGCTGCAGATGCTGGATTTATTTTTCCCATAATGCCCCCAACTTCCACTGAAGACATGCTGCCTTTAACAAACCTTAAATTTTCACTTTATCATTTAAATTAAGCACATTATATGCCCTTTTTGGCTTAGGAGGATTATCATAACTTTTACCTTGCTTTTGGGCACCACTTGATTTTTAGGAGGCATAGTTTCACAAAATTTAGGGTAGGGAAACAACAGATCACATGATTTAAACACAACTGACAACGCGGAACTGACAGAGCTTTTCTGCATCAATTGAGCTATATGATACACATGTATGGGAATTTAAGTTTTGTTTTTGAAACTTTTTATTTATTTATTTGGCCATGCTCAATCAAAAATGCATGTGATAAAATCCATGAATTAAGACAGGCTTATTATATACACATCAAAATATTCCCTTCAGTAGACCAAAAAAAGACTGATTGTCATATATCCTATTTAACCCATATTTATGTGCCCAAAACACCATAAGGCAAGTTGAAAACCAAATAACAAGCTAGAAAAAATATTTTATAATTATGATCAACAAAAGGTAACTAAAAACATAAATGAGTCAGAAGATAAGTGCTACAATAGAAAAATAGGCAACAGGTGTGAACAGGCACGTCAGCTAAAGTAGGAAAATCATTCAAATTACTAATCAAAGCCATGCAAATAAAAAGTACCATTTTTTGCTGTTTATTTGGGCCAATATTAAAAATGTAGACAATAAAAATTAAATATTAATAAAATTTGGTGAGGCCGCTCACATGCTGTGGGTAAGGGAATAAATTCCTATGATTTTTTGGAAGTCCCTATCACAATTTAAGGTTTCATGCTTTTTTGATCCACCACTTTTTCTTCTGAGTATCTATCTATCCTACATAGATAGATGATTACAGAAGCATAGAAAGATGTTTTCATGAAATGCTCATTAAACATTGCTTATAATTATAACAAATACTGGAAGCAATCTAAGTGTGCCTTAGTTGGTAATTGGTTAAGAGAATTTTTGTTTAATTTTTTTAGCAGTAAATAAGTAATTTTTATAAAAAGAATGTAATTATTTTTAAGAAACAAGTCAAACATTTTGATACGTTTCTTTCCAGTCTTTTATCTGTACTTTAAAATGTCATTGAAATTATATTGAATAAACAAATCCTATCCAATTATTTCACTTAATATTAATTTTAATAATTAATAATTTTATTCATGTAACTTAATTTTAAAATATTAATTTTTTTCATGTAACTTAAAATCACTTAATATTTCTGGTAAGTATATTCCATAATTTACTTGCCATTTCCTTTTTGAAAATAAGTGATAGTGTTACTTGCAATGTTTTACTAATATTTGCCTGAAATTCAGATCTTTTCCTTAAAAAGAGTCCCACAGTAGGTTAAAACAGTAGCTGCTGTTGAAGCTCTTCATATCTATTGTTAAATAGTGTCCCAGAGAGTGTATGTTCTTATTGGTAATATATTTTACTACACATTTCACGTTACCCATAGCAGGACTAAACATATCAGAAAGTTATCTTACATAAGACTTTATAGAGAGGACACACAGGTAATAAATAGCTATGTAATGTGTCAGATGGTGGTAAGTGTTACGGGGAAAAAAATTAAAGAAATTTAAGGAGATTTCTGTTTGCTCTTTTGTGTAGGATAGTTAGAAACGGCATCATCAATAGGTGACATTTGCAGAAGCAAGAGAATGAGTAAGCCCTACAGATATTTGGAGGAAGGGCATCCAAAAGGCAAAGGTCATGTACAGAAACCTACGTCATGTGTGAGGCAAACCCAAGAGGCTGGGATGGTAGCAGATGAGGTGGGAGTGGTATAAGAAACCATGTTACCTGGGGAAGTGTAGGCCATGGTACGGACTTTGCTAGAGAATAGAAAGAGAGCTTTTGGAGTCTTGAGCAGAGGAATAATAACATCTGATTTAATATTTGAAAGATTCTTTTTGGCTAAATGGGAAGAGGGTCTATTGTAGTAGTCCAGGGAATACATGTTGATTGCTTGGATCAGCAGATTGAAACCAAGGGAATTGGTTAATTGTGGGTATATTTTGGAAGTAGAGCTGATGGATTGGAGATACGATATGGGACTAAAAGAGGTGAAGATGTTACATTAATGTTCTTGGTTTTTTAATATGCCTGTCAGAGTGGATTGATATTGTTGCTTGTTTATCATAGTTCTAAAATATATGTTTAAGATATGAAGACCAGTGGAACAGAATAGAGGACCTGGATATGAATCCACACAGCTATGCCCACCTTATTTTTGACAAAACATATGATGGAAAATAGACAACCTCTTCAACAAATGTTGCTGGGAAAATGCTGCAGAAAACTGAAACTTGATCCACGTCTATCACCCTGTACTAGTATCAACTCAAAATGGATTGACCTTAATATCAGACCCGAAACTCTGACGCTAGTACAGAAAAGAGCAGGGAATACTTTGGAAGCAATAGGTATAGGCAAGGACTTCTCAATAGACCCCAGCAGCCCAGCAACTAAGAGAAAGGATAGACAAATGGGACTACATGAAATTAAAAAGTTTCTGTACAACAAAAGAAATGGTCTCTAAACTGAAGAGACCACCCACAGACTGGGAGAAAATATTTGCTAGCTATACATCAGACAAAGGACTGATAACCAGAATATACAGGGAACTCAAAAAACTAAATTCCCCCCAAATCAATGAACCAATAAAGAAATGGGCAACTGAACTAGACAGAACTTTTTCAAAGGAAGAAATTCAAATGGCCAAGAAACACATGAAAAAATGCTTACCATCTCTGGCCATAAAGGAAATGCAAATCAAAACTACACTAAGATTCCACCTCACCCCTGTTAGAATAGCTATCATCAAAAACACCACCAACAACAAATGTTGGCGAGGATGTAGGGAAAAAGGAACCCTCATACACTGCTGGTGGGAATGTAAGCTAGTACAACCACTTTGGGAAACAATATGGAGGCTTCTTAAAAAAACTAAACACAGATCTGCTGTATGATCCAGCAATCCCATCCTAGGGCTATACCCAAAGGAATGCAACTCAGGTTATTCCATAGGCACCTGTACACCCATGTTTATTGCAGCACTATTCACAGTAGCCAAGTTATGGAAACAGCCAAGATGCCCCACTACTGATGAATGGATTAAGAAAATGTGGTATTTATACATAATGGAATTTTACTCAGCCATGAAGAAGAATGAAATTTGCAAGTAAATGGATGGAACTGGAGAACATCATCTTAAGTGAAGTTAGCCAGGCTCAGAAGGCCAAAATCCGTATGTTCTCCCTCATATGTGGACTTTAGACTTAAAACAAATGCAGTAATATTACTGGACATGGGTCACACGCTAAGGGGAGAACACATACAGGAGGAATAGGGAAAGGTAGGAAACCCAAAACTTAAAAGTGTTTGATGTGCCCACTGTAGAGGAGCTAGTACAGTAACCAATTGGAGAAGAGAGCAGAACAGGTTCTGTCTGGAAGTGAGAGGGATGGGGTGGGGGGAGGAAAGGAGTGGGGGATGGGGGAAGAGATGGCCCAAACAATGTATGCACATATGAATAAATGAATAAATAAAAAAATATGTTTATATCTGGTATATCAGGTTTTCCCTCATTGCTCTTGTAGAATTTCCTCATTTATTAATTATAGTTCTTAATTTTATAATTATAACTAATAAATGAGGTGGTGTAGGCTACAGTGACGAATAGACCCAAACCTATAGTGAATCTAGCACATTAGGGGGCTTTTGGACTTGGAAGGTGGGGGGGGGGTGTTCCCATTAATGTACATGTTTTCAGGACTGAGGCTGATGTCATCTCTGGTGTCCTCAACTTCCAGAGTTTCAACCCCAGTAAATCTGAAGAAGTCAGCATGGAGGAGCACTCATGGGAGGTTTTTATGGACCAGAACTAGAGTACTCATGTCACGTGCGATTGTAAAAAACCATAGTTATGTGACCCAGTCTGATTGTAGAAATTACAGTGATAATATTTGAAATGTAATTTCAGGCCTTTGCCCTTTTCGTCAAAACCAAACAAGTTCCGTTGCCTTCTTTTGAACGTAAGGAAAAATGGTGGAAATGCTGTCAGCAGCTATTCACTGACCAGACCAGGATCCATAGACATGTGGCAACACAACATGCCGATGAAATTTATCACCAGACTGCTTCTGTTTTAAAGCAGCTGGCTGTGACATTGGGTGCCTCAAAGAGTCTTATGTCTGCAGACAAAAAGAACCTTCCAAAGGAGTACCTCACTCATAACCATGAAGTGTCTGCTTGGCTCCCTGACATAAGCTGCTTTAGCCCTGATGAGCTGGTAAGGTAAGATTGTCATTCTCTATTTTGGTTTGATTTTAAAATATCAGTGAGATACTGCAGCTCGTTGACTAAAATGTCTAAAATGAGAACAAACCATCTTCAGCAAATGGAAATGGGAATGTGGAACAGCTGGAACAGCCACTTGTTGCTGGTGAGAATGTGAAATGGTATAACCATCTGGATAGGGTTTGGCAGGCTCTTTTTAAAGTTACACATCATTCCTGTGACCCACTCCTGGGTATGTGACCAAGAGAAATAAAAATGTCCACAATAAAGCCTCGAACAAGAATGTTCGTAGCAGTTTCATTCATAATAACAGAAGACTGGCAACATCATTCATTCTCCCACTGTGGACGTGCTTGTCATAAGAATACTGCACGGTAAAAGCAGTGGATTGCTGCTGTACAGACTGCTTTCTGATTTCCTATACTTGAGGTTTTGGGAGTATTCTATGTTTTGATAGGGATGTGGATTACACAGATAGGCCCACGTTTCAGAACAGATCAAACTGTACACTTACAATGTGTGTTTCATTTGTAAATTTATCTTGATTCAGATTTTTTTAAATGGAGTAGGCAAATGCTAAATGAACAGGTTAGATCCAATGAGTTCAGTTTTACAAACCCAGACAAAGGAATCATTTATCAGGATTTGGGCAATGTCGTGTTCCATGTAGTGAATTTTTTAGCATCTAAACTTTCTTTAAGTGGAGTCTTTCCCACTGCATTATACTCTTCTCTGGCTTCTTAAGCAGAGTGTGGGAGATGTAGTTGCAGTTTTTCAACATGCTGTTTGAGTTTGTCCTGTGGGCATAATAATAATCTTTCTCCTAGATAAGAGGATTATATGAAAAAATGGAAGTGAAACTTTTTTTGTACAATGACAGATTCAAAACGATAATACTTTATGTTAGAAGATAAACCAGAATGGATTTAAGTTTCCAGCTTTTCTATAAAATGGAGCTAATAATACCTGTCTCTTGGATATGACTATTAGATGAGAAGGCTAAAGTAATCTGGCTGTTTATAAAGTAAGAAGTTCAGAGCAGATACTGGCTTGTGCAGAGCATGTGTGAGGAGTAGCTTCTCATCTCAGGAGAAAGGGAGGGCAAAGGCTCGCCTTCCCCTTGCACTGCCTGAGTGTACTTCATGAATTGTGCCCTGCTAATGCCAGTGACTCACATGCTCTTCCCTTCTGATTTTCTTTTTGTAGTGACCAGGGAAATGAAGAAGGGGAGGTACTACTTTATTACTGCTACTGTGACCTGGAGGATCCCCATTGGGTCTGTGCCTGGCAAACAGCTCTGTGTCAGCATCTGTACCTCATGGGCAAGGTAACCCGTTCTCTGCACACCTTCCTGCACTGGGCTTGTCTTGCCTCCCAACCTTGGATTGCAGAGCCTGTGCTCATTATTAAAAAGATTCATTGCTATATACTTAGAAGTTAGGGAGATCTTGCCAAGCATTTTAATAGTGTATTAAACATTTTATAAGAATATCTAATGGCATAGACCAGGGGGTCAGCCAACTTTTTTCCTAAAGAACCAGATAGTAAATATTTTAGGCTTTGTACAAAAAAAAATTACTCAGTACTGTTGTAGACAGAAAGGAGCCATAGATGATATATAAAAGTGGATAAGGCTATGTTCTGATAACACTGCATGCAAAAGGATAGGTAATTTGCTGACTCCTTGGATTGAAAAATGTTATATGAATTACAAGGCATTTTTATAAACTATACATATAGGTGTGATTCCAAGTTGCTGCTTAATTTTCCTAGAACATGCCAGGGTCTTTTACCATCTTGCTAGGGTATAGACATTTGCTGCCTCCTTTCCTTCTAGAATGCCCTTCTTCACATTTTCTCCTTTCTCACATGGCTTGTGCCTCCCTCACATCTCTGCTCGGTGTTGTCTCCTCATCACACTATTCTTGTGCTTTCGAAGAATTTATTACTGATGGAAAATATAATCTGTCACTCATAGAATATAAGCTTCGTGAGGTCAGAAACTTTGTCTAAATTGATTTAGTCTTAGGTTAGAGCAGATTTAGCATATAGCAGGCACTGTAAATATTTGAAGAATGTCAAATAAAGGAATGAATGCATGCTCATAATGTGTGTATGAAGATGGGAGGTAATATATACCAAAACAATTCTTTTTCGGAACCAAAATGTTAATAATGATCATCTCTGCGTGATCAAATGGTTTTTGTTTTTGTAAAATGCCCTGTGGTTAAATATATACGTACATGTATCCATCTATGTGTGTTACATGATTTTCAAAATTTAAATCAAATAAAGTGAACTAGGGTCCATTTGAGATTTCCCTGGTTATGACTCTACTAGCTATGCCTAATCTTTCCCTGTGTGTCCCAGATTTTCATTTCCCGAGGTAGCAAACCGATTGGCCAGTGCTATTTTCCACACCCATGTTTTCTAACAAATAATGATGTCATTTACTTTATTCATTTCATCACCAGGTTCTGCCACTTCTACTTCTACAATATCCTTCAACTCCATTCACTTGTCTCTTCTACACACACTATCCTCTCTTCCCTGGTTTATCCAGCTACTTCTAAGCTAGTCTCTGATCCTCCATTCTCACCTGCTATTTAATCCATTTTCCACACAACAGCCAGAAGATCTTAGAAGGTAAAGGAAACTACACCACTCTCTCCTCAGTATCTTCCAGTGGCTCTCCAAGGTGAGGTGGGATGGGATGAAACCCACATCCTTCACATGCCCTAGCTTCCTTTATGATTGGGCTCTTCCACCCTTTTCCACTCATCTGATGCCATTCTTCATTCTTTACACTCCCAACAGTCATGGTCTTTCAATTTCTTGATACCCACTTAGGAGTTTGTCTTTGGGCTTTTTTTCATAGTCAAGCTCTTTTCATACAATTCTTTCACACATATTCGTCTTCCTATCTAATTTTAGTGAAGCTTCAGTCCTCAAAGAGATGTTTCTTGGCCTTCAATCTAAATTCATTGTTCCCAGTATACTCTCTCATGGCATATCTTAGTTATTTTAGTAGCACTTGTCCATTTGTAATTCATATCTTAGTATCTATGACCTCCCTTAGTCTGTAAACTCTTAAGAGAAAGCACTGTAGATTTTTCAACCACTGTATCCCTAATTCCCAGCATAATCTCTGATGCATAGTTAAAAAAAAAAAGAACGAAAGAAAAAAATCAGTATTTGTGAAATGAATACCTATCACCATCTCTATTCAGAGAGCTTACACACCCTGAAAGATGAGTATTCTCAGAAAATGTACAAAATAAGAAGGCATCTCTTGGTTTTCTGAGTAGATTTTATTCTTGGCCCCACCTGAGTCACCACCAGCAGTGAGGGATCCTACCCACAAGGAGGCAGCACCTTCCTGGATCTTAGGTACCAGTTCCTAGGCTTCAAGGATAACAGGCCCAGCTCAGTGAGAGTTTTGTGCTGCTAGATTTGGCAGAATATTGGTGTTTAGGTAGGGAAAGAAGAGAACCTGAAAATTCTAGATTTAAAGAAAGAACCTGTGTTCCTATTACTGAATCTCCTTTTGGCCTCAAGAAATTTGAGGGGATTCATTAGCACCTTTGGAAAGGACAAATTATAAAATGTGGAGCCAGGAAGATCTGGTTTTAAATCCCAAATCTACCACCCACTAGTTCTTTGCCCTTGGGCAAGTTACTTGGTTTATCTGAGCCTGTTTCCTTCTCTGTATAATGGGAATTGCTGTAGGAGTCTTGTGTAAAGCTCTGTCTCAAAGCAGGTGCTCAGTCAATGCTAACTGTTGCTTCTCTTGATTTCCTAGGTATAAGGCCTTCCTCCACAAGGAACTTCTTTTAAGGTTTTGTGTTGAGGAATCCTAGAGATAGCAAGTATAGCACGAGTTTAGAGATTCCCCTTCTTGGTTATGTAGGGAGTAGATGTGCTTATTTGGGTTCTGAGATTAAAATAAAACAGGAAAGGATCTGTTAGCCTACCCAGAATCAGTCACAGATGTGTTCATCACACCTGCCTTAGTCAGACTGTTTTGGAGTGACCCTTGTCCTGGCTCAGCTCTACTTCCTATGTAGTCTCCTGTAAGTTGGTGGTAGATATAGTAGCCTGTGCAACAAAGATGGCACATGCTTCCTATTTCCCTCTCCTGTGCCCAGAACAGGCTTCCCTAGACTGTAGCACTCCTTCTCAAGGAGTTGGATATAATCTAGAGAGCCTCTACCTGTGAGTTGGCACTGGATTCATGGATGAATCCCATTGTATATCCATGCCCTAAAGAACTGAATCCAGTAGGGGCAGCCACTTAAAACCTTCAAATTCCTATGCATTGACTTATAAATAGTAGTAATAATACAGGACCTTGAATTAAATTGCTTCTCTGTAAAGTGCTTTGTTTACTAGCACTTTTCTCCAGAGATGGAGAACATACCCCTAAAGGCAGGTACCCTCCCTAAGCTCTAACGTCCCCTTGCCAGTGAAGTATTTCAGAGTACAGGGTTTGAGAAGCCCCAGAGCCCCAGATGTGGGTACATGTGCATTTATTCAACAGATGGGTATTGAGTGCCCACTGTGTGGCAAACATTGTTCTAGGTTCTGAGGATACATCAATGAACCAAACAGACGCACACCCCTCCTAGACCTTGAATTTCAGTGGGTGGGTTTGCAGTGATGACCTTCCCCCAACAGCCATGCAGATATGATGCATGCATTCCCTGCCTTGGGTGTGTTCTTTGCTTTAGGACCTGGTAGTACCTCCTCAGCAGGTTTTTTTAAAAAATCTGGATTTTTGCTGTTTCCTTTTTATCAACATAAAGAAAATGAAGTTCAGAGAAGTTAATCAACCTTCTCTGGGCTACACAGCAAGTAAGTGTTAGAACTAATATCTGCTGACATCTGGAGGACTCTTTTATAACACCTGAATTTAGGCTAAGCTCAGAATTTCCTTCTTTTGTCATTGCACTTTCCAGAAGTTGTATTCACATTTTCATGTTCAGCACATGAGCTGTATCATCTTGTCTGAACTGTGGGCCATACCACTTTAGAGAGACACAGGTGTCTTTGTTTGGTAACACTTTTTGGTGACCACAGAAGCATCTGTGCTTTAAGTTAAAACTAACTGACACACATGAGCCTGTTGTTCTACCCTGGGAATATAACTAAGCTAAGAACATGCTTTGTTCTCTGTTTCTCACCATCTTCTGTCTCAGGTTCGAATTGCTACTGAAGGAATCAATGGAACAGTTGGTGGAAGCAAATTGGCCACTAAACTCTATGTGGAAGTCATGCTTTCTTGCCCATTATTTAAGGATTATCTGTGTAAGGATGATTTTAAGGTAAGAAAAATCAAAAATCAAATGGATGTAGTGCTTCTGCCTCAGTGGAGGTTATGGGACAGACAATGCCAGGTAATTCCCACTTCCCCTCTGGGTTACAAGACAGGGCAGTAAAAGAGACATGATCGCTGCCTTCCATTGAGTCACCATGCCACTACAGGTCAGTTGGTGCCCTCTTTAGACTTCAGTCTCCCATCTTATATCAGAAGAATGTCACAGTTACACAGTCTAAGACTCTAAAACTTGGATGTGTTTGTTCTTTTGAGAGACTTGACTGTTTCAGCAGGTCACTATGGCATACTGTGTTTTTAGTAACTTGGAATTAAAAGGTTAGCATTTTCTACCACATGGGGGAGTAAAGCTGTTGCTCCTACAGCTGAGCTGCTATGTTTGAGTGGGGACTTTGTTTTTATCACAGTATGGGAAATGACTTGGTAGTATTCATGCTGGTGACAATAAGAAAAGAAAGGTCCCTGTTCCAGAACAAATGCTAGAATTTCTCAGTGGTGCTTCAGTTTTATAGTTAATGCTCTTCCTGCACATGGAAGATAATGCAAAAAATATTTATTAATATGTTGAGTTATTTGCAATATCCTGGGCCCTAACTCTCTTCCCATTGAGAGTTCCTACTTTTTTTTCTAATTTGGAGTTTCTTAAGACTTCAGCTATCATTTTACTACAAAACAGATCATAATTCTTATATTTGGCACTTCTCTTATTCCTGGCAATGGAACAGGAAGACTGTATTTTGTTTTGTTTCTCATTGGCTAGACCAGCAAAGGAGGAGCTCACTGTTTTCCAGAATTGCGTGTTGGCGTATTTGAAGAAATTGTACCCATGGGGATCAGCCCCAGTAAGATCTCCTACAAGATGCCTGGTATGCTTGTTTTTAAAAGAGTGTTGTTTTTTGTCATAGAGACAAAACCTAACAGAGGGACAAATAAGAAAGACACTGATCAGCTAGAGTTGTAATGAATCCTCTCTTTAACACTTGGGTTCATATATTGTTTAAATTTGCTTCTTTGTGGTACTGTGGTAATTGAAGATTTGACCTTAGAATGACTTATTTTATTCTTGGTGATGATTTGGCAAAAAGTTGTTTTCTCTTTCCAAAATAGCAATTTGGAAAGAATGTAATTAATATGTGTGAATAGTTCATGAGCAGAATGCAGCACACAGGCTTTTTGCTACAGGAAGCAAGTAGCTTTCAATACCAAAGCAATTCTCAGTGCTCTAGAACATTTTCCCCCTCTTCCCTGAGGTTACTATAGATGGTTGAAAAACATTTGTTTGGTGGGGTTTTTGTTTTCATTTTACTTGCTACCATGAAAATGTTCAAAAAAAAGAGTAGAGAAAATAGTAGAATGAACTTAGATGTACTTACCATACAGCTTCAGCAGTTATTCATGACCACCTTTCATTTAACCCATCCCCTCTCCCACTCTGGTCCTTACATTCATAAATACTTTAGTAGATAGCTCTAAAAGATAAAGATTTAAAAGAAAACTCTAAAGCTGTTGTCATGTCAAAAACATTTTAATTCCTCAATATAATCAAATACCTAGTCAATAAATTCCTGGTAATGTCATAATTTCTTAAGTTTCTGTTAGAATTCAAATAAGATCCATTCATTGTGATTCATCAATATGTCTCTGTGTCTTTAAACCTATATATTCACCTCTATCTTTTTCTCCCTAGCAATTTAATTTTCAAAGGAACTAGGTCATAGGGTCTGTAGAGTTTCTCACAATTTGGATAATGCTAATTGCATCCCTATGGGGTATTCCTCTGTTCCCTACATTTCCTATAAATTGGTATTAGATTTGGAATACTGCTATCTAGTCGAAATATGTGACCCACATAATACAATTTTACATTTTCTGGTAGCCACATAAGTAAAAGGAAATAGTTGGAATTGATATAAATAATGCAGTATATCTAAAACATTATCACTTCAACTTGTAGTCAGTATAAAAATTATTAGTGAGGTAGTTTATATTTTATCATACTAAGTCCTTGAAATTCAATATGTATGTCTCCCTTATTATACCATATTTCCAACCACACTTCAAGTGCTTGTGCCATAGGTGTCTAGTAGCTGCTGGGCCAGACAGCTTAGGGCCAAAGACTAGATCAGACTCAGGCTTAATTCCTGTTTTTCTCCCCACATCCCGTCATAGGTAGTATTACCTTCTTTCATCAGGGAGAACACTTTACTCAGGTGTTCATTTGTTTAATATGTAAATATTTAAAAGGATAAGAGTTAAGCCAGAGGGAAACAGGAAGTAAAATACAGCATCTGGGAAAAAGCACACCATGCGTGAAGAGAGAAGAATCTGACAGGGCTGCATCTTCTTGGTGTCCCTGCCTTACCAGGAAGCAGTCTCTCCTTGGTGCCACAGGACAGTCAGGAGCTTAGGGTAGAGCAGGCTCCAGGCAGCCCTATGCTGTTTTCATGTGAACCAGGCTGTTTGAAGGGAGCTGTTTCAGTGGTCCCTGTCCACTCAGGCCCTCTCAGGTCCAGTAGAACAGTGGCAAAATAGCAGCAATGGGGAATGGGTTTGGTTTCCTGTGGCTCCCATGGGGAGCAGATTTCCATGCTTCTCATCACATTTCGAACCTCTCTTTTTGCTCCACTGTTTTGGTATCCATGTAACTGTGAGATTGACATTCTCCCTGCAGTCCTAGCTTGGACAGCCCAGGTTGCTTGGCTGTGCTCTGGTGCCTGTTGTCTCCATAGTGTGGAGCATTGTCAGGTGGTTACTGAGGTTCATCCCGGGTGAAGTGAGGCTCCTTTGGTGCAATAAAACTCTGTCATGAGTCGTGGGTGAAAACCACTAATTGTGATTACCCACAGTGCCCAGTTCACCAAAAGTTCTTAACAATCTACTGAGATGTCTGGACCCCGAAAGACTCAGTAATATTTCTATCCTGGGGTGTTAAAAGGCGAAGGGCTCCACCAGACTCAGGTTCTCTTTTAATCCTCTTGTATTTTAACACTTGTCTTCATCTCCTTCCCTTCCCATCTTCTAACTGTTGTCAATCCTCCCACACATTTCTCTTTTATTCATGCACACAGACTTAGACACATTATTCTTACCTTTTTGAAAAGCACATTCTAACTTTATCCCACAACTTTATGATCTCAGCTAGCTGCCTGTCTAAGCCAGGGTTCTTACCTTTGAACTTGGGTTCAACCTTGGTATAGAATAGTTTAAAGCATATATTCAAGCAAATACATGCTGAAGCTTCTTCATGCACAGTGACAGTAGAACTGTGGCCGTTTCCTGACCCACTAATGGCCATACAATGGATCAGCAAACCAAAATAAATCCCAGTTATTTGGTTTTTATTACTGAGCTTAAGCCAAATAAGAGGACAGATTCAATTACTTCTAAACTATCAGGTCTCTGAGGTCCACATCTTGGGAGGAAGGAGGTTGAAGAAACCCAGAATTACTAAATTATTTAATCATAGTCATCAAATATTGTTCTTTGGAGACAGTTGTAATTATGAGAAGAGATTTAGATGGGAAGAAATGGAGTTGAGACATAAGTCAGGTTAGGCCAATTCTGATTAGGTTTTTTTGTTTGTTTTAACATAATTTTTTGGTTCGGTTTCAGGAATCCATTTATCCCCAGGTGAATTTCATGAAGAAGTAGAGAAGTTTTTATCTCGGGCAAATGAAGAACAAAGTGATACTATCCTACTGGATTGCAGAAACTTTATGAAAGCAAAATAGTAAGTAAGAACCAGAGTTGGGTTTGATAAAGTGGTAGGTCTCCCCCTTCCTCACATGGTATATTTCCCCAGGGCAACCTGTGGCCACATGGTCTTCTTTTAATATTAGCAGCCAAGTCCTGAACTCAGCATCTGGTGAGAAAGTCTAAGAAACCATGAATTAAAGACATCTTGTCACATAATATATTTTTGCCTGCCTTTGAGCCTACCCTTCACAGGTATCAGTGATCTTGTAAAGTTGACTTTGGGTAGCTTTCCAGTTCCCCTGAAGACTGTAGGAAGATGACCCACAGCCCACCAGCCCTGTTTCTAGTTCTAGATCTTTAAGTTTAAAAAGTGTGGGATAAGAACAGCAACTGGCAGATGTTCTTTGCTGAGGTGGGAGTTGTTACCCAGAATAATCTTTGCTTCTACTATAGGTAGCTTTTCTGATACTTCTCCTTCTGCTGCTCCTGTGTTGTAGGGACGATTCCAGGGCTGTTTAGCCCCAGACATCAGGAAATTCAGCTACTTCCCTAGCTACGTTGACAAAAATTTAGAGCTCTTCAGAGAGAAGAGGGTGCTAATGTACTGCACTGGGGGTATCCGTTGTGAACGTGGCTCCGCCTACCTCAAAGCCAAGGTGAGCCGTTGCCCTGCAGGCACTGCAGGCATGGTAGTGAAGAAGGGTCCACCAACAGCCTGTGTGGAGCTTTCCACTCCATACCCCCATCACCTGCTCTACCCCCAGCCAGCTGGATTTCTTTGCCTTCATTTGGTTCTATCTAGCATAGAGATTGTAAGAGCTAAACTTGAGGTTCTTAAATCTCAAAATGTGAAAAGCACTTAATAGTCTTAGAGACTCATCAAATACAAAAGGGAAAGCTTAGTTGAACATCTCCCTTTTCCTGATGCTTTTGTTTGATCCCAAGAAGAGCAAATTCAGTAACATTACATATCCCAACAGATGTCTCCCTATATTTAGGGGGTAGCAAAAATAGTTGGGGCTTCCAGGATCTTAGAGGGTGAAAGCCCTGACTGCTAGCATCACCCATCCTCCTCCAGTGGGCGAGGTCTGGCCAGTTGGTTCCTTGACCCTTTGGTCAGCAATTCCTCCGCGTCCTGCAGGGGGAGCCAGGATAGCAGAGACAGTAAGTCCTCCACTTGGGGACTTGCTACTACTCTGTAGAGCAAAGGTCCCTGCTTGTTTCTTCAGATTTCCTAATGTTTTTTCCACACCCAGGGAGTTTGTAAAGAAGTGTTCCAGCTCAAGGGTGGCATCCATAAGTACCTGGAAGAGTTTCCTGACGGTTTTTACAAAGGGAAGCTATTTGTCTTTGATGAGCGTTATGCCCTGTCCTACAACAGTGCCATTGTGTCAGGTAAGTCAGCCCAGGTCCAGAGCCTACACTCAAGTCAGGCACAGTGTCATTCACCATTTTAGTAACACTGCAACAGAAAGGCAAGCCAGAGCTAACCACCTGAGGAAACAATAGGGAAAAGCTCCAGATACCCGTTTTCCCACGGATATGCAGCATGGAACAGAAAGATCCTGGGGTCAGGCATTGGGAGGTTCTGGTGGTATCATGCACTGCCTGGGCAAGTCCTTTAACCTCACCTGCCCTGCTTACCTGTCAGGAGCTGGACCAATCTGGAGTTAGTATATAGAATTTAGGGGTTCTGTGAACATGCATGGGGAAATTGTTAAGTCTTTTTTTCAATAACTCCTCACAAAAATGAAATATTTCCTTTAATTATGATTGTAGGCAGTGGACCAGTTGTATTAGATGTACCTGGGACTTTGTCTTAGAATTCACAGCACTTTCACATCTTGTTATTGTTGCTATGGATATCTCAAAATAGTGTTGTAGTCATCACTGTTTCACAATGGAAATAGATATTAGGCCCACCACTAAGTCTTGTTTATTTACTATGTCAAATTTTCATCTCTTATTGTATGACAGATTTTGAAAAATATTTTGTATTTCTGTATACTTGGTTTCCTTTGTGATCCTATGTATTTTGTTTTATTCATTTAAAACCATTTTTCTAAGACAGGGTCCATAGTGTGCACCAGGCTACTAAATAAATTCATGTCAGAAAATGAAGAATAATAACCCCTGGGTTTAGATGGTCTGTGGACACATTTGAGTTGGGGATGGGGCATTCCAAGGAGAGAGCTGAACCCAGGGTGAAGGTCAGAGGCAGGGTGGTCACAGAGAGAAGCAAGCACAGGCAGCCTGGGGTGTGGCTGCAGTATTGGGCCTGCACTGCAAGGTGGTGCCAGATGTAGGCAGTAAGAGGAGAGAAACAGTCCTTCAGAACCATGCCTTGTGATCCTGGATGCTACATTTTGGAAGGGAAAGGTCACAGATAGACAACCACAGAGGCTGCTTCAGTTTCTAGAACTCTTGTGAATAAAGACAGAGATAGAACTAGTTTTCAGATAATATGTAAGATTTGAGTTTGATTGTCATCTCCTCTTCAAAAAAAAAGTTTTGATCTTTTTATTCATCATAATAGTTTTCTGTTTGTCTTTTATTGAAAAGCACTTCAGATCTGTTTTAGAGCTAGATCTAATATAAATTATAAATAAGTAGAAAGTGGATTTGGGAGGTTTAATGGAAGAAATACTGGCAGGACTTGATGAGTGCCTATGTGTGAGTCAAGGAGAGAAAAGGCCCCAAAGTAGCTTAGATGACCAAGGTGAGGAGACTGGAGGATGACTGACATTGTCAGTGGTGACCAGAGATTGGCAGGGAAAAAGGCTAAGAAAGAAGATAATAGGCAGGTCAAATGTCCTGAACAAGGGACAGTTGGCCAGCTTCAGAACAGCTAATTAAAAACAGAAGGGTTACTAGCTATTTTCTGTATGGAAAAAGGAAAATGGGTTAGTGAATATTGAAATCAGCAATTTCCAGAAGCAACCTCCTCATTTTCTTTGTTAGAAAACAGGAGACTGTTTTTGTAGGTTTTTTTGTCTGTTTGTTTGTTTTTTGAGATAGGGTCTCTCTATATAGCCCACACTGGCCTTGAACTCACGTCCTCCTGCCTCATCTTCCTGAGTACTGAGGTTACAGGGATGTGCCACCACACCCAGATAGTTCACTTACTATTTAAAAAAAAAAAAAAAAACCTTACCTGAGTCCATCAGGATGTATTAGATTTCGTTTCTGTGTGTTTTGCTTGGTGTAGTGTTTTTGTAAGTTTATTTGAATGCCTTCTGTTGTTTTGTGTTGTTGTTGTTTGTTTGTTTAGATTTTTTTTTTTTTTCGTGTGTTTTTGTTTTCTTGTACTTGTTTTTTATCTCTTGTTTCTCTGTTTGAGTTGGTTTCGTGTATTGTTGTTGTTTTATGATTGATCTGTTTTTTTTTTGTGTTTAATTTTTTTGGAGGTATGTTTTTGTTGTAATTGTCTCTGTTTTGTTTTTGTTTTTTTTTTTCTTCTTGATTGTTGTCTGTTTTTGTGGGGGTTTTTGTGGTTTTCTGTTTCTTCTATCTGGTTGTATTATGTCTTCGTTTGGTTGTGTTTTTCTTTGTTCGGTTGTTTGTGTTCTGTTTGCGTTGAGTATTGTGGAGATCTTGTTGGTTTGTTGTATGATTTGTTTCTTTTTGGTTGTATGTTTGTTTGTTTTATTTTCTGATGTGTGTCTGGGTTCCATCTAAGACGTTCTTATTAGAAACTGGAGAGTCCATGTCTTCTCTTTGTGTGTGTGTATGTGTGAGAGAGAGAAGAGAGAGAGAGAGAGAGAGAGAGAGGGAGGGGAATGAGGGAGAGACAAAGGGAGAGAAAGAAAGAAACATGGGCTTTTCTTTCTTTTCTAGAGTGTTCCTACTGTGGAGCCCAATGGGATCAGTATAAACTCTGCTCTACTCACCAATGCCGCCAGCTTGTTTTGACTTGCCCTGCCTGTCAACGACCAAGGGCATTCCAGCCTGTTTGTTTGTCACAGTGTCAAGACAAGGAGCAGTACAGGCTTCAGGGTACGCAAGGACCATCTTTGAAAGAAGAATGGTGAATGTAGCAGCCGCGGCTCACCTGGGGTATCGCCAAGGGGAAACTCTCCACAGTATATACAACTCCCTGTGAGCGCAGATGCCATAGAGGATGGACCTTTGCTCAAATGAGTGATACCTTCAGCATTCCCCAAGCCTTCATAAAAGTAGATGTAGGGCAATTATGTTAGGAGAAGTCAAGGCTGCAGAAACAAATTGGAAACTTCAGTGCTGGACAGTTGCCACCATTGCAAACTGGTCACCATTTTGGCCACCTATACTTCATGGGTATAGGGGACAGGAAGTCAAGTGTTGACCACTTATCTGAGCCATTCTGATTCAGAAGGTGCTGGAGCATGGAAAAAAGGTGAGCAATATGGAATCTCAAAGCTGTTGAGGGATAGAGCCTTAAACTGTTGACTGTCATGCCCTTTTTCTGCCATGCAGCAGGGCTGTTAATAGTCATTGCCCTTGTCAGCAAACCTGTTCCATCCTGGCAGCAAAATGTCAAAGCTGTGGCCCTGGGAATGGACTCATGGACCAGGCCACTTAGGTCATGTGCCGTCTTCCTGCCTCTGTCTCTTCTCTGACTGCCAGGGGGGGCTCAAATAACTGAAAGCGTTGGCATTTGAAACCCACCTGGTGTTGTTGTGGTCAGATTTAGTGGAAGCAGCCACCCATCCTTTCAATAATGTCTGTTGGGCACTGGTAAGCAGTTGCAACAGTGGCCATGTGGTCCACAAAGTCTAGAATATTGACTGTGTGAATCTTTACAGAAAAGTTTGCCAGCCCTTGGTCTAGACTAACAGCTCATCTGGTGGAAGTGGCCTTAAAGATGCGGCCCATCTTCATTTTCACTAACTTGGCTTCTCTGAGAGATGGCTCCCTACAGCCCTGCTTCCTCCAACACCCACTCTTAGTTCTGAAGTGTTCTCTTTAGAGATTCGGATAAGCTCAAGGGCACTGGCATTTGAGCTGCAGTCTTCAGGTCAGCACCTAGGACCCTAGTGAGGTCATTCAGCACCACCATGGTACCAGGCTGCCCAGCCTTCTAGCTGATGTGCCAGGCACATGTTCCTGTCATACAGGTCCCAAGAAACACATACACAGCCACACATAGACCAACGGCTTTAATATTATGTTGCAGTTTCCAGTGATGCAGAATGCAGCTGCAATTGTGTTTCAAGGAGAAGCTGAGCAGGAATGGCTGTCCCTGCAGCTTGGTGCCACTCCTGGGCCCATTTGCAGCCTCAGTAGACACTCTTTATAGTGGTGAGGCCCTGGCTCCACCTCTAATTACCCTGTACTGTCCATATCATTACAGTTCAGTGAGCAAGACTTTCACTTTCTCATCAGAAGCCTTGTCTGCTCATCAGCTCTTTGGCCTTGTCCTTTGTCATAAGAATTCCTAATGAAAATAACTCCCCAAAGCAACAAACAAAAGTACTAGTTTAATTGGCACTGTGGTATATTAAAAGGCACAAGGGCAGTGTGTCTCACAAGAGATACACATGGTTTTAAAGAGGGATCTAGTATAAACACCAGAATTGCATTTTCAGAATAATCATTTCAGGGTCCTTTGGCCAGGATTTCCTATTTCCTTAATATCTAGATTTTCTGCACTGTTGTCCTTCAGAGGCTTCATTTATAGACACGAGATTAGGGGTGACTTGTCTAACAAGTGGCCAGACAGGTAGCTGAAGTCTGTAAGCTTGGCCATGCTGAGTACCATAGCCACAATGGACTGAAAAATGTGCGCCTTTAGCGTTTGGCCTCATAGAAGCCATTTGCCCACTGTGCAGCATAGAAAGGTGTTTTCAAGTATTTAGCCGTAAGTTTTCACATCCATGATAGGTTAGCATTCAATCAGGAAAATTCTTCCTAACTCCAATAAATACATCCCACATGTTCCTACAGAAACTCAGGAATGTTTGTTGCTTGGGGTTTTTGAAACTTGAAATTTCACCATTGCCTTTTTCTATGAATTTTCTCATATCCAGCAAAAAGACTTTCATTTTTTGATTTTGGCAGAGCTCTGTGGCTTCATTCTGTATATATTTCTTGAGGAGAAAATTGTGTTTTTGAAAAAGCCCGTTATCAGTTTGGCAACTTTAATCTTGAAGTTCTTAAAATTTAAAGGAAGGTTAACAAGATTATCTGTTCTTTTTGCTGAATAGCTAAGATCAAATTTGTAATAAAGCATTTTGTAATAGTTCAAACCAGGAGGAAGAGTGTTCTGTGTTTATGTGTCCATGTTGCGAATATACCTGAAACACCATACAGCAAGGCCACTGATCCGGGCCCCTGGGGTTAAGTCATTGCAACTGTCATGTCATCTGCAGTTAAGATCTGCCAGTTTGAGGGCTTCTTAGTTTTTAAATAATAACCAGACTGAACTTCTGTGGCTAAAGAAAAAGTTCACATTAACCATATTTTATAAAATTGTCAACTACAACCACTAGTTAACCTAAAACCTTAGTGCATAAGGAACTGAACCACAAACGAGTTTTGTGCCAGCATTTTGCCTCCTGGTTTCCACTGCGGAGCACACATTGTCAGTAGAACATGTCCAGTTCAAAGGCGTGGGTGTCACCTCCGCACACTAGACACCGCTGCGGCACTTGGGAATGATGGGCCCCGTCAGATCTGCAAGCCTCCTCTTCCTCACTAGAAAGGAATGGAGATGAGGCATGAACCAGGAGACATCCCTGTCACTCCAGAAAGCACTGTGGAACCTCACTGATTTTTTCTGTTAGCAAAAACGTCAGAAGTCTGTGTTGCTTTTACAGGACAGTTACATGTGTGTTCTATAACAGCCTCCTAGTTTGTCTATAGTTAGTGATGAGGGCCTGTGTAAGGTTGATGCATCCCTTCTAAATGGCTGACCTCAGCCCTCTTTACCCACCCTACTGTTTTTCCTTTGCCTACCAAAGCCCCACAGTTGAAGACTTCCACCCTGGTTCAGACAACAGTTAATGTCTAGATCTACTTAGAAGACTGGGTGCTTGCCCTGGTGAAAACGCTCCTACCGTCTTTTTCTGGGAGTTCTGGCCCCTTCCTTCCTACGTGAACAACAGTTTCCATTGTGAAGGTCACCTGCGATATTTGTGCCCCTTACGCTGAACAATGACATTTTCTCAGGAGCAAGGCAATGTATGCTCAGACACTTAACATGACAAAATTAAATGCCGTAAAAAGGAGGTTACAGGCTGGAGACGTTAGCTTAGAGAACAGGCTGCTGGGGATGAAGGGGCTCCTTTGTTGTAGCAAGGGAGAACACACTGAAGTGAAGTGTTGGAAGATGAAGACCAAGCAGCAAACCGGATCAGCCACAAGAGAAAGGTCAAGAAAGTCTGTGGAGCCCGTAGGTTTTTGCCAACACTTGTAGGTGGTATAAGTCCCTGCTAGTACAGCACACAGAGGTAGCTTTTGCCAAAGAAGAAAAGTGGGCAATACTTAGATGTCTTCCAGTTGCAAACCTGAGGTGTTAAGACGTGACCACCAGCAGTTTTTGCTTGGTCCGTGGTCTTCTGTTTATGCTTCCTGTGTAGCTGAGATGATAGGTACATGCCACCAAGTCCAGATACTGGTTGAGATGGAGTCTTGCTAACTTTTTGCTTGAGCTGGCCCCTCTGCCTCCCAAGTAACTTGGGATTATAGCCATGAACCACCATGCTCAGCCTTGGCTGTAATGCCTTCTGCGGGAAACCCTAAGGGAACAGCTGCACTCAGTTCCCTGAGGTAACCCAGAGGCTTATTTTTATCTCCTGGTGTCCCTGCAGGAAATTTCCATGGTGCCCGCTTCCCACCTGCTTTCACTGGCAAAGTCCTAAACTTGCTGCTAAAGTCCTCGGGCTCCAGCTTCTCCACTATCCGCCCAGCTCCCTTCCTGTGTACATCCCACATCCTGCTTGCTCATGCTGTTCCCTCTGCTTGGAATGCCCTTCCCTTCCTTCCTAGGGAACTGTTTTTCCTTCTGGATCTAACTCTCGTACCCATTCCTCCAACCCCTTCAGACCTTCCTGTCTCTGCCCTGCTATAGGCTGGGCCCCACCACCTTGCCTTTGAATCCTCATACCCATTCCTAGCACTTCCTGTAGCTCCTGCAGGATCACCTCCTAACCGTCCTTGTCGGCCCATCTCTTCCTTTAGCTTTGGCTGGCTAAAGTCCCGCCCAACCAGAAGGCTTTGCTCTCCTGGCTTCTGGCCTTGTACATCATCGCACTCTATTTGGACAGGGCTTGCAGGCATTTTTGAATTTTTAGGCATGCCTTTGAGTCTTCCCCTAAAGGGCTGTAAAAATTCTTCAGTTCAAGAACTCACCTTTCTGCCACTTCTGTACCACCTAGCACAGTCCTGAGCCCACCAAGGTCACTCAGGAAATGCTCTAACAACTGGTGTGACTTGGCTAGGCCAAGGTCCTCCCCCTATCCCAGGCTTTAGTCTCTTGAGAAGTGAATTAGAGGCTGAGCTTAAGTCCTTTTGGTGCTACCATTCTAAACTCCTACAGTGGCCTCCAAAAGACCTTGGGATGGGAGTCAGGTGAGTTTTGGGATGTCAGATGCTCAGGACTAGGAGAGTCCTCAAAGGCCATGTTTTCTAGACCCTAGATGATTCTGGTATCTCCTGGAAGCACCCCTGTCCTCTAGTCATCTGGAATCTTTCATCAGGGAAGAGAGAGGCTGGGTTAATCCAAAAATAGGTACCAAGGGGGCACATAAGATTAATCTATAGCTGAGGGAAAATGTGAGGGCCTTGCATATCAGAATAAAACTTGAGGCTTATGTAAGTGGTAGTTACATAAGTGATTGCTGGCTTCTCCAACGATTTGATTTATCTGTCACCTCTGGACTATGGCAATAATAATTATGATTTTTAGTTATTTGTGTTTGCTCTTATTTTTGTTTCAAATAAGGGTAGCTCAGATAAATGAAGATACCAGGTGTATTTTTTAAATGAGCTTTTCTAGACCTGAGGCTCTAGAGAAGTTGGCCTGTGGAGTGAGCACTGAATGAATAGCCCGAGTGTCATATGCTTCAGAGCAGGAACCTGTACTTTGGACACCTGCACTTGGACAAATGTCCGTAGACTGGAGTAACTTGGTCTGAAATGTGTGTGAGTGTGACGTGTGTTAGGTTTGAATACAAACCATAGATCCATGTGCTGAGTACTTGATTCTCAGCTGGTGGCACTATTTTGGGAGGTTCTGGAAACTTTAGGAGATGGGACTTAGCTGGAGGAAGCAGGCCACTGGAGATGGGTCTTTGGCCCCTTCCTGTCTCACCCTCTGCTTCCTGTCCACTGTGATGCTCTGCCATGCTACTGCTGTCATGATGGTCTGCCTCACCACAGACACAGAATCAGCAGAGCTAAGGGCTGTGGACTAGAATCTGAAACTATGGGCTAAATTAAAATTTTCCTTTAGGAAAATTTAGGTAGCTTTTGTCAGGAATTGCATCTCAGCAATGAAAAAACCTGACTAAGAAAATTAGTACTAGAGAAGTGGGGTTGTTGCTATGAAACCAGACCATGTGGTTTTTAAGCCTTTGGAACTGGTTATCAGGAGGAAATTGGAAAAGTTTAGAGGTACAGAGTAGAGAAGCTCTAGAATGCTACAAGCATTCTAGATTCTGGTGGGAGCTTAGCAAACCAGAACACCTACAGGAATGTAGACAGTGAAGGTAAGCCTTATGAGGCTTCAGATGGAAAGTAGAACTCTTACCAGGAACTGGACTAGAAGCCACTTGTGTTATATTCTGCAAGGAATGTATATTTTGTCCTTGTCCTGAGACTGAATGAGGCTCACTTTAAAGGTGATGGCTAAGTAACCACATAGTGCAGCATTCAGATTGTGGCGTGGTTATTATTAGCTGCTTGTATCCAGGTTTACAGTGAGAATGAGGAGCAAAACGCAGAGCAGAAAGATGTGAAAGACATACGGTTCAGTCAGAAAAGATTGTTTAAAGTTGTTAAGAGATTAGCACCGTTAAAAAAAAAAAGTCACTTGCACTGGGACGATAGGAAAGATATCTATAGGACATCTCAGGAATTGACCAGACTCCACTCATCAAAGATCAGGGATGTTAAGGTGTTTTGGGGTTTCGTGATATGGAGATGGAACCGAGGACCCTGAGCACGTGAAACAAGTACCCTACCACTTGAGCCACACTCTCACCTCAAGGGTGTAAAAGTTTTAATGATTTTGAAAGACTGCTTTGGGAAAAGAGCACCAAGGCACCCTGCATGCCCAGGACCACATAGGGAAATATTTTCCTGTTCAGCTATTTAGGAACTCAGAGGCCACTGCAACTGTGGTCCAAGTGGGTTGGGATACTGCTCAAGCTAGCAGCAGACCTTTATGTCACCCACATGATGTTGATTTTGTAGGCATGCAGAAGATAATAGGTATGGGGTCATGGAGTTTCCATCCAGATTTCAAGGGAAGGTCTGGGAGACTAGCCAATGTGTGGCAATGAAGGCAGCCCCTAAAAAGGCAATGAGTAAAGCTGTGAGGGTGAAGCCTAAGCTGCAATGAAGACCCCAGGATGTTGGAGATACCAGGTACGTGGAATGTTTGCTGAGGAAAGCTGCAGGCAACAAGTGGAGGCAGCTCAGGAGAGGCCATGTGGACTGCAAATGGCAAGAGCATTGGGATGGGGCTATTCATCCCAATGAATACCAAGACCCCTGGATGCTGGACACAGAATTACAGGATTTCATGTTTGCCTTGCTGGGTTTTGGTCTTGCTTTGGCCCAATCGTTCCATTCTATTCTATTCCTCCCTTTTGGGATGGGAATGTTTACTCTGTGCCATTGTATCTTGGGAATATTTAATTTTCTTTTTGATTTTTTTTTTTGGTGGTACTGTTGTTAGAACTCAGGGCTTCACGCTTGCTCGGCAGGTACTATACCATTTAGCCATGCCTCTGGCCCTTTATTCACTGGTTAGTTTTGAGATAAGATCTCACTTTTTACCCAGGTCAACCTGGACCAGAATCTTCCTATTTTATGTTTCTCACTCTAGCTGGTATGACAGGCAGGTGCCACAATGCCCAGTTCTTTTTTGTTTTTTTCATCAAGATAGGGTCTCACAGACTTTTTTGCCTGGACTGGACTGAAACTCAGATCCTCCTGATCTCAATTTCCCATGTATCTGGGATGAAAGGTGAACACTATTGCACCCAGCTATTGGTTGAGATGGGGTCTCATAAACTTTTTGCCTGGGGTGGCCTCAAACTTCAGTCCTACTGATATCAGCCTCCCAAATAGCTAGGATTACAACTACTGGTGCCCAGCTTTTTTCTTCTATTTTATGGAAGCTCATAGCTAAGAGATTGCCTTGAATCTCAGTCGAGATTATGGACTTAGACTTTTGAACACTATCAGAACTTTTAAGAGTATGGGGACTCTTCGAGATGGCCTGAATGCATTTTCCATTATGAGACGGGCATGAACTTTTACAGGTCAGGGAAGGAATGTTATGGTTGGAATATGAATGCCCTATAGGCTCATGTGTTGAATGCTTGGCCTCTAGCTGGTAGCACTATTTTGGGAGGTTCTGGAAACTTTAGGAGGTGAGATCTAGCTGGAAAACATAGGTCACTAGGGGGTGGGTGATTGTCCTTGGCCCCTTCCTGTCTCACTCTCTGCTTCTTGGCCATGATGATTGAGCTGCTCTGTTCGGCCATGTTCTTTCTCCCTTCCATAATGGACTGACACCTCTGAAACCATGAGCCCAAATAAATCCTTGCTCCCTTATGTTATTTCTATCAGGTACTTTGTCAAAGCAATGAAAACACAGCCACTCCAGCATGTGAGCTCTGTGGTTGTCTCCACATAAGAGTCTGTAAGTACCTGCCTTGTGTGCCCACACCTGCAAACCCATCTCCTTTCTTCCGTGCACCAACCTAGCCTCAGATAGCCAACAGGAAGCAACATACATGAGCTGGGAGTAATTGTGCTTTAGGCTCTTTGCATTTTATTAAGGGCTTGAACTAGAAAGAGCAATGTGCAGAGCAGGTGTGAATTTCATAACAAAGATGCTGCCCTTTAAGACATACTTATTTCATAATTGATTCAGAAAGAAGCTTTAAAGAAAAAAAACAACTCACGATGCTTCCTTCTCTTCTGTAATAAAAATAATGTAACTTGATTTGTTTTGTTCCTGCCATGGTTTTAGAAAACTCAGGGATACATGTAATGTTCAATAAAGTAAACAACACAGACCTACTGCTTGTCTTGTATTTTTTCCCTCTAACTTTGTCAGTCCTATTCCCTTCATTATATATCATTTCAAGTTCTCTTTGGCATCCAGCAGGAATACACGTAATAAATAGCTGCACTCAGGGCTTGTGAACAATTAGCATCTGGAAAGGAGTGACTCCAGCTTTTCATTCCAGTGACTTGTGTATCTATGTGATATGTGCTCATCCTCAAGTAACATTTTCTTTATTTCCCATTTTAAAAAATCCAATGTTGCCTTTCACTGAGATTAAAGGACTGTAACCTGATGTTGCTTTACTAAGAAGTTGCATTTCCAACTTTTCCTTAAAAACAATGTGAACTCTCCTGGGATAGGACTTTTGGCAGTGTTATGGGATGGTAGCTTTGGACTTTGGGGTGAAAGCCAGATGGTATGGTCTGCAGAGGACTCTGGGAGCCCAGAGAAGGGTGTGCAGAAGAGGAAAAGACTTAGGGAGAGCCTGCGCCTCACGAGTTTTATTTCTTCCATCTAACATGCTGATGTGTGCTGTGTGCCCAGCCTGTGCTGAGCTGTGCTGAGGGAAGGAGAGATCTCAGCCCTACCTCCTGGGAGCTCACAGTATAGGGAAGGAATCAAGACATAAACAGAAAACAGGAAGATGTGATCTATGTGAAACCCAAGAAGACACACCCAAGAGAGGGTGTGAGTGAGATTTTTCCTGACATACACAGCACAGTGGAGGGAGGGACAGTAAGGTGGGCAGGGCAGAAAGCGGATTTCCACTCACCAAGGTCGTTGTTGTTCATCATGGCATTGGACGCCCGAAGCCGGGGCCCCTGCTGGGTAAAGTGGTAGCCAAATTTAAGAAGTGTTGCATTTTTCTCCAACATGCTCACGATCTCCATTTCTACTTTGTTGCCCAGGGGCTGGCTCTTTGGTTAAAAAAAAAAAACACAAAAAAAACCCCAATCACTATTCATTCCACATGTGCAGTGCCTAAACAACCTCTCTAGGCAGGAAGCCTTGAGTAGTGGGTGGGGATGACAGCGCTCTTCAAGAGCAAGGGAATGGGAGTGCAGAGCAGTCATAGGGTTGCATGGACAAAAGCAAAGAGCTGGATGCAAACCCAATTCTGCAGGACACCAGGACTGGCTCTTTCCAGGGCTCCACAGCAGCCCCTCTCTGAGCAGGTGTCCAGGTAGCAGCTCCTTGGAAGGATGTTTCAGTAGGGGCACCTGCAAATCATCTAGTTCCAAGGAGGGTTTTAGAACTCTGCCCAGTCTGTACCCATAATTAGGATCTCTGGAGGTGGGACTCTGATGACTGTGTTGAAACTCCCTAGCTAATTCCAATATTAGCCAAGTCAGATAGCCAGGAGTTTAGACTACACTCTTCAATTTATGAATGAAGAATGTGAGTCTCAGAGAAGAAATAGGATTTGCCTGAGATCACACAGTAAGTTGAGAATGCTAGAGTTAGCTTTCTAAAGCCCATTCTGATGGTATTAGTTCCCTGCCTCCAAATCTACAGTGATCATCTACCAAAGTCTGAAAACAATCAACTCCTCAAAACTGTGTAACGATACACAGTCTCAGGAAGGATGTGATGAGGATGTTCCTCACAGGCTTGTTTATAATAGCAGGAGGAAAGGGAAACATTGATCAAGAGGCAATTGCTCTAGTAAATGATAGTCCAATCTTCCAAAGAATGTGGGCAGCTAGGAAATGGTGCAAATTTTAGGTCACGTGTGTGGAAGGATGGTGATGAAATGACATTGAATGGAGAAAAAACCCCGTTCAAAAAACATCTTTCATGTAGTTATCTAATGTAGATATAATATCTACATTATATATATATATATATGTAATATTTATATATATATATATATATAAAATATTTACTATACATGTCACAGGAAGAGCTTTGAAGTATATTCACAGTTGAATTTAGGAGAGGTTGTTGTCTTCTTTATATTATATTTGAATTTTCCATGTTACCATGTATAATAAAGTAATAAAAATAAGCATAAACTGAAAGCTTTCCCCTTAATATTAGGAACAAGACAGGATGTTTGCTTTCACCAACATTGCTCTGGAGGTCATAGCCAAGACAAGCAAGAAAAAGAAAGAGAAGCCATCTAGACTGGAAAGGAAGAAGTCTTTGCAGATCATATGACATTGTATCTAGAAAACCTAGATATAACGCAAACACACACACACAAATTAGTGCTAACAAGTTCAGCAAGACTGTAGGATGTCAGAGTGATACAAAAATCAGTTGTGTTTCTTTTTTCTTTTTCTTGTCTTTTTTTTGTAGTACTGAGGATAGAACTCAGGGCCTCACTCTTGCTAAGCAAGCACAAGTCATGCCTCCAGCCCTTTTGTTTTTGAGATAGGGTCTTATTAACTTTGTCTGGGATGGCCTTGAATTCATGATTCTCCTGCCTTTGCCTCTTCAGAATCTGGGATTATAGGCATGTACCACAGTGCCAGGCTCAGTTGTATTTCTATATGTTAGCAACAAGCAATCTAAAAATGATTAATTCCATTTATAATGTCAAAATAATAAAATGCTTAGGAATGAATTTAACAAAGTAAAGACTAATATATTAAAAACAACAACACTGAATAACATTAAAAAAAACTACAGGAAAAAGAGTAAAACCATCCCGTATTCATGGGTCAGAAGAGTTGATAATGGTTAATGTGCCAACGCCACCAAACTGCCCTGTAGAATCAGTGCAATTCTTAGCAAAGTTCCAACCTCGTTTTTGGTAGAAATGGACAACCTGATCCTAAAACTTACTGGAAAATGCAACAAAGTCAGCAGACTCAACACTGCCTGATTTCAAAATTACCACAAAGCTACAGTAATTAAGACTTTGTGGTTCTGGCATAAGACAGACACATAGACAAATGGAATAGGATTGAGTCCAAAAATAAATACATACATTTATGAAGATTGTTTTTTAAAAAGGGCACCAAGACAATTCAATGAGAGGAAGAATGATCTTTTGGAAAGAGACAACTGGTTACCCACATGCAAAAGAATGAGTTTAGACCCTTCACTCCACCAACATAAAACAACTCAAAATGGGTCAAATATCTAAACATAATTAAAACTATAAATCTCTAAAAGAAAACATAGGTGTACGTTTTCATGACTTTGCAGTGCTATTTTAGATATGACATCTAAAGAACAACCAACAAAAAAATAAATTGAACCTCATTAAAATTTTGAACTCTTGTGCTTTAAAAGAATCCATTCAAGAAGCTGAAAAGGCAGCTGAAGGCATGGCTCAGGTAGTAGAGTGCCTGTTTAGCAAGCACGAGGCTCTGAATTCAAACCCCAGTACTGCCCCCCCAAATTTAAATGCAGCAGGGTTTCTTAAAAAGATAAAAATTGAATTAAAATTGTTTGACCCAACAATTTTACTCCTATACAGAAAAGAAATGGAAATATATGTCCACATAAAAACTTGCACATGAATGTTCCTAACAGTATTATCCATAACAGCCCAAAGTACAAACAACCCATCAACTGATGTAGACTGACATAAGGATAAACAACTGATGTAGACTGATGTAAGGATAAACAAAATGTGGTAGTCATACAGTGGAGTAATATTCAGCCATAATGCAGTGCTGCCATACACTAGAACATAAGCAAACCTTGCAAACATGCCTAGTAAAATAAGCTAGATGCAAAGACCACAAATGATACGATTCCATTTATATGCAATGTCCAGAATAGGTCAATCCACAGAGATAGAAAGGAAGTTGAGGTGTCAGGGGCTGAGGAGGGGACAGTGGAGAGAGAGCTAATAGGTATGGAGCTGCTTCTTTGAGTGATGAAATGTTTTGAAATTAGATAATGGTGATACTTGCACAACTTTGCAAATGCACTAAAAACCATTCAGTCATACCCTTTAAAAGGATACGCTGTGTGGTACATGCGTAAGACATCAAAATTTTAAAATCCAACAGTAAAAGAAAATCCAACTAGGAAATGGGAAGGTACAAAGAGACATTTCCATGAAAAGGACACACAGGTGGCAAACAATGACATGAGGAGACATTCAACATCATTAACTATTATGGAAACACAAGTCAAAATCCCAATGAGACATTACTGCATACCTATCAGAATTGCTAAAATAAAAAACACTGGCAATTCCAAATATTGTGAGAATGCAGAGAATTTGGTTCACTCATTGCTGATGGGTATGGAAAATGACAGTCACTATGGACAACAGTTGGACAATTACCCTATGACACAGCAATGGGACTTGGGGTATTTATCTCAGAGAAATAAACATGATTGTTTACATAAAATCTGTACACAAATGTTTATAGCAGCTCTACTTATAATAGACAGCCTTGGAAACAACCCAGATGTCCTTCAGTGGGTGAGTTGTTAAAACAAACCGGTACATCCACGCCATAGAATAGTACTCAGCAGTTAAAAGGAATAAACTATTGGTACATGAAACCACCTATGTGAAATAAAACTCCAGAGAATTACACTGAGTGAAAAAAAACAATCCAAAATGGTACATAGTGTATGTTTTCATTTATATAACATTCTTGAAATGACAACATTGAAATGGAAAATAGGTTTGCAGCTGTCTGGGGTTTAGAGGTAGGAAGAGCAGACAAGTGAGTCTGGCTTTAAAGGGGCAATACGAAGCATCCTTGTGGTGATAGAATTGCTCTGTAAGATTGCATCTGGGCTGTTGTTGGGGTTGTGATGCAAACCAGAGTTCCCACTGAGGGAAACTGGGTAAAGAGTACACGGACGTCTCTGTATTAGTTCTTAACAACTGCATGCTAATCCACAAGTGGCTCAAAATTAAAAAGCAATTCAAAAAAAACCAGACACAGAACGCAAACAGCAACACAACCACCTCTGACAGCTCCCACTCCCCATAACTTCTGCTTTTCATGAGACCTTCCTATGTTCAGGGCTGGCCTCAGGTCTGACTCACTTGATCTTAGTTCAGTACCTCAATAACCCAGCAGGAACCCCCAGGCCTGTCTACCCCAGGTGATCAGCACACGGTGCCTGGTGTAGTCAGAGGTCTACGCCTAAAAGCTCATGGGCTTTACTGTTTCCACATGGCATGTTCTTCCCTCCCCTGTCCCCTGTGGATATAAACTCGCTATAAATTCTCCTCTCCCTCTAGGCTGTTCCTGATCCTGACCCAGAAATGTTACTTTCCATTGTAAACCCAAGGCACACTGGACATCCCTCTGTATACCCACCATAATCCGTCTGCCTCATTTGGCTCATCTGCCTCCATATATCCATCTCTCCAGCCAGACCTGCGTGACCCAGTACAGCAGCTACCAGCCATGTGGCTCTTTAAACCAGAATGATTAAAATCAAGTCCAAAACTCAGCTCCTCAGTTGCACCAGCCATACTGCAAAGTGCTCAGTGGCCACTAGCTGGCAGCCTCTGTACTGGTCAGTACAGAGCATTTCCATCATCTCAGTGCTGTTCATCGTGAGTTCTGGAGAGTACATGCTATCCAGTGTCCCTTGTTCAAGCTGATTGGTCTGAATCAACCAAGGAACATGTTGGAACATCAAAGGGCTAGAGGACACAACAGCCAGGCATCAAATGGACACGTGTGAACCGTGGTGAAGACCCTTGACAGAGAACTCCCAGGTATTCCAAGTCCACCAGAGCTCAACTGCATTCAGATAGGCTGGGAAAGCCAACCATGGCAGGCAGAGGGACACTGGTGAAGTCCCATCAGCCCATCTGGCAAGGCTTCTGAAAATGCTGGAAAGACCTCCGGTCCATCCTTGGAGGACTCAACACAGCCCTCAGCCCTGGCAGATGGTGCAGTGACCATCCGAGCACCCCCAGAAGGAACTAGTAGCTCCCCTCCATCCCATGACAGAAAGTCTGCCTGCTTCTTGAAGT